GATTAAGGCGGGGGACAGATGACATGGGGCACCAAGTCGGCTCAAAGGAATCCGTCCGCTCCTCCTTAACCTCTCCTTGGGAGCCTACAAATTATATCTATTAATGTATCAGCCCCCTGGCATCGCACAGATACGTTGTCTGCTTAAATGTATGTCAATCATTCACAGGGGCCTTTGAGGAATTCCCACCTTCTTGTTGCCCTTCCATCGTTAAAAAAAAAAAAAAAAAAAAGAAAGAAAAAGAAAAGAAAAAACAGTTTAACCTGTTGGCTCGTTCTGACAATGGCTCACAGCCTGCCTCCTCCTGCTGAAATCACTTTGGAGGGAGAAGTCGAGTTTGTCTGCCAAAGTGTTCACAGAATCGTTTAAGTGGGCCTGGGGCAGCTGGAGCATAGCCAGAGGAGGGACCCACAAAGAGGAAGGGTTTGGAAACCATGTTCAATGAAGCATGGATGGAAAAACTGGGGATTAGCCTGGAGAAGAGAAAACACAGGGAGAACTTGAGATCTGAAGAGGCGCTTGGGGGGGAGAAGGATGGGAGTTTTCCGTGGGCCCCAAGAGAGAGCCCAGGGAGAGACAGGCATTCACAAAGTGCCAGCAAAGTGCCTGGATGAGAAATGGGCCACGTGCTGGGGCCGCCCCCAGCGGATGTGAGGAGATCCATAGCGCACAGCCGCGGCTGCAGGCATCACAGAGTCTTTCCCTGTGTCTGAGCCGGGAGACAGCCAGCCAGCCACTGAAAGGCCAGCAAGGTTCAGCTCCAAATGTTGCGGGGGGGTGGGGGGGGTGGGGGGGGGTGGTTAATTGAGGGTTAATTTAACCAACAACGCAACGGAGAGATTTTTCAATGTACAGTTCACTGAGTTTTGACAAGTGCAACCTGTGTTTCCACCACCCCAGTCAAGATATAGAACATGTCCATCAACCCAGAAACTTCCGTTGTGCCCTCTTTCCAGGCAAACCGCCGCACTCCACCCAACCCCCCCCACCCCCCTGCCCCAGGCAAGCACTGTTCCTATTTCTATCACTCTCGATTAATTTGGTCTGTTTTAGAACTGCATTTGAATTTTTAAAAAAAGCATTCAGTATGTCCTCTCTTATGTCTGGTTTCTTTCACGTAGCGTGCTTTTAGGATTCATCCATGTAGGTTGCTCCTTTTTATGGCTGAGTGGTATTTTCTAGTAAGGATATAATGAATTTTATTTGCCCATTCTCCTGCTGATGGACATTCAGGTTTGCTTCTGGTTTGAGGTTACTAGGAACACAGCTGCTGTGAATAGCCTCGTGCATTGCAGGGTAGTATATATTCCAAAAGCCATTTCAAACAGCCTGCAAAGCAAGAAAAGCCTGAGGTCATGAGGCGTGTGGTCTTTAGTTAAGACAGGCAAGAGTTTGGGGACTTAGTTCCTGGCTGTCCACGCCCTCCCAGAGAAGTGCAAGCTGTGTCCCCCATTCCTCCCATTGGTGAGCAAGAGGCAGATACCGGGGCCAATCTAGGGTAGCCCGGGGTCCTTCATGAGCAAGAATAGCTATTTCAGCAAAGATGGGTGGCAGCCATCATTCAAGTTTACGAATTCACATCGACGGAGCTCTTACTATATGCTTGGTCCCATGTGGGCGCTAGGGGTTATGGGGAAGAGAGAGATGAATTTGAATTTGATGAGCCTCTGACTTCGAAGCGCTTGCAGTCTGAAAGGAGAAACCAAATGAGTAATACATTATGAAACCACAACTCAGTGTTCAACAAACACTTAGGGGTCAGCTGCTATACGTATGTTGGGGAGGTGGCCAGACAGCCTTGAGAGAGAAGGCTGAACCCACCCCTTTAAGCACTGGGAAAAGAGCCTCCCAATTTGGGCTGATGCGTCCCATCCAGAGAAGAGTACATCAGGCCAAAGGACAGATTGGATTTGGGCTTGACACTGGTATTTCAGAACACGGATCTGCTATCTCAGGACACAGAACCTGTCAATGCCAGATGTTGCCATGTGTACTCATGGCCTCACTTCCGGTGGTCCTGAGAATGACTTTGGCACTAAGGCCAAAACACAGAATATTGGCCCTGGATGGCCCTTTAGAGTTCACTGTCCACTCTATCCCAGGGGAAATGGGGAAACCGAGGCCCATGCTAAAAGAAGTTACTTTCCCAACGGCCCAGGGTAAAAATGCTTTCCCCTCCAATACAATCATTCTTCTGCTGTATGAGTCTGCCATTTATTAGAAACTTCTGACTATATGACACAGACCTATTTTAATGCTGTCATTGAAGGGATAAGATTAGCACATGTCTATAGTCTCTGCAGGCTAACCTATCAGATTTTGCCTGTGAACAGCTGCTACAGTTGGAGAAACATTTTAATCCGAAAGTTATCTAAACTCTGATAAAAACAGCAGACCACGTTATGATAGGGTCCTATGTGATTCTGGCCCATTTAGCTTCTGTACCAGGTTTATTTCTTTATTTTTTTTATTGTTAGGCTTCTGGTTTATTTCCATGACATTTTTCTGGGCACAGGTTTGACAACTGTGTAATTATAGAATACTGTATAAACTACTTTGTATTTTGCTTTTTTGCATAAAATAAAACTTCCTTACTTTGGTCAGACTCACCCCAGCCTTTAAAAACACTGATGCCAGGGGCGCTTGGGTGGCTCAGTCGGTTGAGCATCCAACTTCAGCTCAGGTCATGATCTCACAGTCTGTGGGTTTGAGCCCCACGTCGGGCTCTGTGCCGACAGCTCAGAGCCTGGAGCCTGCTTTGGAATCTGTGTCTCCTTTTCTCTGTGCCCCTCCCCTGCTCATGCTCTGTCTCTCTCTGTCTCAAAAATAAATAAAAACATTTTTAAAAAATTTTAAAAATAAATGAATAAAAACACTGATGCCTATTGCATTCCCACAAAGGGGGAAAAAAAGGTTGCGAATATACTGAAATTCCATACTGTCTTCCAAACAGTTATTAACAGATTTTTTTTTTTAAAGAAAAAAGAAGACATGAATTTGGATCTATGCAAATTTGGTGGGAATTCATTTTCAATTAATTTGCAAATCAGAGGGAACAGAAGCAGTAATGCTCACAATTCTTGCTTTGTGATTTTTTAATAACACTAAAAATTATAAAGTACTTTATACATGCACAACACCTTAAATTTTTCAAAACATCTTTATATCCTTTTTGGGGTTTTTTTGTTTTTTTTTTGTTTTTTTTTTTTTTGCTAGAACCTCTGACAAAAAGGCAAGGCTTGTGTTATCTCCATTTTCCAGATTAAGAAAATAGAGGCCTCGAGATAAGTGACTTGCCCATGTTTACTTAGGCGGTAGAGACTTGTGGCCTCCCCCACACCACCCTTTGGCCACAGGGCAATTCAGCACCACCCAGCAGCCCCTGTGGCACCCAAATGAGACAGAAAGGACAGTACCATTCACAGTGCTGTTCTTTTGGAATTAATCATGAGATCTGTGATCACAGAAGATTTTTTTTTTTAACATTTATTCATTTTTTGAGAGACAGAGACAGAGTGTGAGTGGGGGAGGGGCAGAGAGAGGGAGACACAGAATCCAAAGCAAGTTCCAGGCTCTGAACTGACAACACAGAGCCTGACACCAGGCTCGAACCCACAGACCACGAGATCACGACCTGGGCCGAAGTTGAACACCCGACCAACTGAGCCACCCAGGTGCCCCCGGAGATTTTTTTTTTTTTTTAAATACATACTATCCGTTTCCGTATGTCTTCTTACAGAACAGGGCTAGCCCCAGAATGCAGGACCGGTGCAAAACCAAAGTATTGGACCCTTTGTTCAAAAAGCAGGAAAAAGGTACTGTGAAATGTTCCAACCTATAAAGCTTTGGCCTTTCTTTCTTGGTCTCTCTCTCAACTTGTTACGGGGGGCGGGGGAAGGTGGTTGCTATTTAATGTCATTCCAAGTAAAGAGAAATGAAACGTTGACGTCATTTGCATGAGTTTTACTATTCCCCTATAAATTGTACAATGCCAGTTCTCAATGCAAACATAAGAGCATTTAACCCTTACCTAGAGTCACCAAAATACAGAACTTTGACCTTGGAGCCCGGACACGTGTATGTGTTTTGTTGTTTCCAGAACCGTGGAAGTGCTCCTCAAAGCTAACTCAACTGTTTTTATTCCGTTTCGCGGTACACACGCATTGGCCATCCCTCTCCACCTTTGGCTCACAGCAGAGGCTGTGCTGGAGATTACCAGCCTGAAATGCTAACAGTGGAGGGAAGTTCCTGTTGGTTGTTGTCACAGACCACGCCCTCCCTGAACCCTCCCTGCCAGCCTCCTGATCTGCTCTATGCCCAAGGCCCCTCAAGTCCCTCATGGCCTTCGGTGTGAATGACTGGCTCACAGGGGGCGGTCGCATGGGCAAGAAGGATATGACAGGGCTCTCTGGTCAGTTGCGTCTCTTAGAACGCCGTCGCCTTCTTTTGGCATTCTTCCATTCTGGTCCCAACAGAAAAGCACAGCCTCTCCAGGCCAGGTGGGCCCCGCTCAGTTGCAGCGCAGGGCACTGAGACATGAGCTCAGTGGGGGAGGCCACATGTCTCTCATGAGCTTTTGCTGAATTCCTGCATGGGATGCCTGGAGAACGCTCTATGCGGTGGGGCAGCCAGGAACTCCGTGGACACGCGAAGTGCACGCAGCTCCCTTGCTGCGCCGTTTTATTGGACTTCGCTTATAAAACAGAAGTTCAAAGATGAAAGTACTAAGAAGGTCAAGATAGTGAGAGCACGGCATTAAGCCATGCCCTTTGGAGCACAGAGTCTATTGCAAATGCGCAGATCATGTGCCCAAGATGCCAGCCCTGGTCAGAAATCAAAGTCAACTCTGGTTGTTACTAGTCTAGAGGCTCTGGGGGTATAGACGTTCCTCTCAGGCCTGAACCGCAGCCAAAGCTGATGATTCCCTTCCTCACAACACCCCTCCCCCCCCCCCATAAGTGATAAGGCTCAGGGAAGCGCTCCCCTGTAGGGAAGGTGGAATTATGGCCCTGCACCTGTAGTTTCAGGACTTGAGGCTGAGGAAGGAAGGAGTGGGGATGAATCACCTGGGCACAGCTAGAGTCCAGTGAAAGGAGAAGTCTTGTCCAGGAAATGCTCTCATGACCAGAAATTAAGGAGGAAATCCAAAATGTCACCATAATCTAGCAGTGCCCTTCTTTCTCTCAAGCATAATGTTTTCAACAAACTCCTCTCTGGACATGTCTTTCTGGCACACACGCACACATGCACACACACACACACGCGCGCGCAACAGGTACAACCCCTGGAACAACAGGGACGGAGTGGGAAAAGTCAGGGAGCTCTTCGTTCCGGCCACACCTCCTTTTCTTTCTTGATGTGTGACTCTGGTCAGGTCACCTAACTTCTCTGAAGCTTGGCTGTCTTCGCTGTGAAATGTGACGGGTGATCCCTAACTCGGAGATCAGCGGCATGCGAGAAGTAAACTCAAGAATGTCCACAAAGTGGGCTGTAAGCTGAAAATTGCGCGTGCAGCGCGTCGGCCATGTTGGTGTCCCGTGTATAAACGGTGTATCTCACATACAGACCCCATCAGGAAATTTCACTCGGGGGCAGAGTGATTTACAAAGCCTGCTCAGAAGTGAAGTCAATTAAGGTCAGCTTTCTATGTTGCTAAACAACAGGGGATTCTGGGTTCAGTAACGTTGAAAGGCAGGCCCAACACACCCCTTGAAACCGGGCTTTTGAGAGGGTTCAAAGGAACGGGAAACAAAAGCCTCTCTTTGTGATGTTTTCACTCTTCCTTCATTGTCCTCTTTCACCCTCCAAGGGCCTTCATGTAAAGAAAGGGGCTGCTAATGTGGCGAGTGGGAGTTTAAAATTGTCCTGGGCCAACAATGTTGGCACATTCTGCCGGGCCTCATTACAGAATCATCTGAAATGCTTGAGAAGTGTTTCCCACTCATTAGCATAAATAGCAGAAAAACTCTTTCACAAACAAAGCAGGTTCCATCTGCCCCCAGTATGTCCTCACCTTGACTTCAAATGGCCAGTCCCTCCCCCAGTACAATACCGGGGGCGCCGGCCTCCGAGGCCCCGAGCACCCCACTTCAGAATGGCATTCAGTGAAATATCAACACGGTAACCTGCATGTTTATTCATTGGCCAGCCCCTGCTTTTAATGGAGTCCCTTCCCCATTGTGGCCACTTGATTCTTTCACAGACCTAAAGGGAGAGGCCGGGAGAGGCTTCCTTTCCGAGCTGTTGGGGTCCTTGGCAACCCACACCTTGTGAGTGGGTTGACCAGGCTAATTAGGTTTGTTCTGCCTTTTTGGCCCAAGCGTATTTTGTCAGGTATTCTGCTCTGGGATTAAAGAGTCATTAATCACCCGGGGCTGACGCTGACAAGGTGGCTTTTACAATGAAGTCCACTTCCCTGGTGTTGGCCGGAGCCAAAGCCGGATCTGTTTTGCATTACATTGCAGAAGAATGTAACGGCTTCTTCTCCCCAGTCAACCTCAGAGGACATCTATCACGGGCTCCAGTCCTGGAGGAGGCCGGTGCCAGTGTCAGAGATAGCATCTGTCTTGCAGGCAAATTGTGCTAACAGCAGCTGGGTGGAGTTGGTTCTGGGAAGGGCATTTCCTAGAACAAGATTAGAGCATGACAGACTTGGGGTGGGGTGGGGGACCTTCCTCATCAGTTAGAATGGTATGTCACTGCTTGTCACCCTCACTGCATCTGAACCCACGTCTAAGCTTTTATAACTATTTTCAGCATGATCGATACTCTTGTATTTGTCAAGTCAGAGGGCCCGGAGTTCTTAAAAGGAGAAGGAAAGGAAGTCATTGGCAGTTGCCGAGTTTCCATTAGTTGAACCTGGAACAACATCGGTTCGAAGTGTGAAGGTGTGCTTATATGCGGATCTGTTCCACAAATACGGTAGAGTGCTGGCAATGTATTTTCTCTTCCTTATGATTTTCTTTTTTTTTTTTTAATTTTTAATTTTATTTTTAAACATTTTTTTTAACGTTTATTTATTATTGAAAGACAGAGAGTCAGAGCATGAGCAGGGGAGGGGCAGAGGGAGAGGGAGACACAGAATCCGAAGCAGGCTCCAGGCTCCGAGCTGTCAGCACGGAGCCCGACGCGGGGCTCGAACTCACAAACCACGAGATCATGATCTGAGCCGAAGTCAGACGCTTAACCAACTGAGCCACCCAGGCACCCTTTTTTTTTTTTTTTAATTTTTTAAATGTTTATTTATTTTTGAGAAGGAGAGAAAGACAGAGCAGGAGTGGGGGAGGGGCAGAGAGAGAGGGAGACACAGAATCCAAAGCAGGCTCCAGAGCCCGACGCAGGGCATGAGATCATGACCTGACCTGAAATCAAGAGTTGGGTGCTTAACCAAGGGAGCCACCCTGGCCCCCCCATGATTTTCTTAGTAACGTTTTTTTTTTTTTTCTCTAGCTTAACTTACCATAAGAATACAGTATTTAATACATATACAAAAGTGTTCATCAACTGTTAATATTATGGGTAAGGCTTCCAGTCAACAGTAGGCTATTAGATGTTAAATTTAGGGGGAGTCAAAAGTCACACAAGGATTTCTGACTGGGTAAGAGGTTGGGACCTTAAACCAGCCTTGCTCCAGGGTCAACTGTTCTACAAAGGCTAGGCACTGAGGTGGGTATTTTGCATACAAATGATTTAATGAATTTAAATGTCATTTTAATGCAATGACATGAGGTACTTTTCCTGGGACAGCTTTTTGAAAGGATGAGAAGAGTTCCCTAAATTCAGCAGTTCTTATGAGCTTTCTTTTTTTTTTTAAAAAAATGTTTTTTTTCAACGTTTATTTATTTTTGGGACAGAGAGAGACAGAGCATGAATGGGGGAGGGGCAGAGAGAGAGAGAGGGAGACACAGAATCGGAAACAGGCTCCAGGCTCCGAGCCATCAGCCCAGAGCCTGACGCGGGGCTCGAACTCACGGACCGCGAGATCGTGACCTGGCCGAAGTCGGACGCTTAACCGACTGCACCACCAGGCGCCCCTTCTTATGAGCTTTCGTTATTACTTATGTAAATCATAAGTTAAAAGTTTAGGTCATGGGGCACCTGTGTGGTTCAGTTAGTTGAGCAGCAGACTTTTTCTTGATCTGCTCAGGTCGTAGTCCCAGGGTTGTGGGATCAAGCCCCATGTCAGGCTCTGCCCTGACAGTGTGGAGCCTGCTTGGGAATCTCTCTCTCTCTCTCTCTCTCTCTCTCTCTCTCTCTGTCTCTCTCTGTCTCTGCCCCTCCCCTGCTCAAGCTGTCAGTCTCTCTCCAAAAAAAAAAAGGTTTAGGTCAGTCACTTATCAAATTATCAGGATTATTGTTTCCCTTTTATCTCTCAGATCTGTGATAACTGTTTTTCTGCGGCTGCTTTCTTGTCCTCCTGTCTTCTCTTACCCTTTCATTACTTCACATCTATTGAGCACCTATGATGCCGGGTGCTGGAAATACCGAGATTTAAAACACATGGCTACAGGGGCACCTGGGTGGCTCGGTCAGTTAAGCGTCCGACTTCAGCTCAGGTCATGATCTCACAGCCCGTGAGTTCGAGCCCCGCGTCGGGCTCTGTGCTGACAGCTCAGAGCCTGCAGCCTGTTTCGGATTCTGTGTCTCCCTCTCTCTCTGACCCTCCCCCGTTCATGCTCTGTCTCTCTCTGTCTCAAAAATAAATAAATGTTAAAAAAAAAAATTTTTTTTAAATAAAAAAAAATAAAACACATGGCTACAGGCCCCATTTCTCATCTAGTTCCTGGAAAATGAGCTCCTCACAAGAGAATAAATCGAGGATGTCGGAAAAAAGAAATCCACCCCAGAAGGGCAGTGAAGCGAACCCCAGGATGCTGCAGGCCCTCCCCTCCCACCCCACCCCACCCCACCCCACCCCACCCCACAACAGCTGAACACCACACAGGGAAGCCCACCGCTGGCCACCGCTGTAGCACAGAGCTCCAGAGAGTTTTCTGCACAGAGATTAATTTGCTAGGAGACCTGTGGAGGGCATTTAGATCTTTGGCAAAGAGTCTGAACTTTAATGATTGTTTAATACAAAGTAAACAAAGCAAATGAAAAAATAAGACAGTTACCAATTCCAGGAAAGGAAAACTAATCACGGCTTATTGTTAGAAATATAATCTATATTTTCATAATGTAAATACTGAATTTTGAATAAACTACATTAACTTGCAACAATATTAAGAAGAAGTGGAATGAAAAAGGAGAGTCTGTATAAGCGGGGTGAGGCAGGGGAGGAAAGGGCTAAACTGACTTTTCATAGTGGGAATTCAAGAGTGAATGCTGAAAACTGACAAAACAGAAACACAAGCATGTGAGAGACAGCCCTTGTAGAATTATTTGACTCTCCAAATTACATGCATGTTTAATTTTGATAAATAAAAAAGCCCTTAAATTTAAAAGTCACTGAACCTATGTGACTTAAAATTTTTTTTTCTTAACATTTATTTATTTTTGAGAGACAGAGCACAAGCAGGGAAGGGGCAGAGAGAGAGAGGGAGCCACAGAATCCGAAACAGGCTCCAGGCTCTGAGCTGTCAGCACGGAGCCTGACATGGGGCTCGAACTCATGAGCTGAACCATGAAATCATGACCTGAGCCAAAGTCAGATGCTCAGCCGACTAAGCCACCCAGGCGCCCCCAATGTAACTTGTAAAATAAGACACTGTGGGGCACCTGGGTGGCTCAGTCGGTTAAGCATCCGACTCTTGTTTCAGCTCAGGTCATGATCTCACGGTTTCGTGAGTTCGAGCCCCACATCAAGCTTCATGCTGTCAGCAGGGAGCCTGCTTGGGATTCTCTCTCCGTCTCTCTCTGCCCCTTCCCACCCCTTGCGCTGTCTCTGCCTCTCTCAAATAAATAAATAAACTTAAAAAACAAGATAAAATAAAGTAAAATAAAAATAAAATAAGACACTGTGTTGTCAAGGGATTAACAACATCACTGGGAGACCATCAGATAAAGAAAGATTTAAAAGGTACCTGGAATGCTGGCCCGGCTGGGCTGTTCAGAGGGAGGGGCGCAGGAAGCTCGCAGGGGAGGGCGGCGTGGCGGGCCAGTATCTAGAGTGATGCGGCTGGGACAGGGAAGGAGCCCTGAGGAATTTGGTTACCTGGAAGTCTGGAAGCAGGAGAAGGTGATAGAACACCAGGAACATAATGCTCAGGCCCCATCTGATAAGGCACCCCATGTGATGTCCACAGAGCCCAAGGCAGCCGAGGTTTAAATCCCAGCTTCAGTACTTACCAGTCACAGGACTTTAGGCAAGCTATTCAACCTCATGGAGCCTCACTTCATCTGTTAACAAGAAAAATAATCTCTCCCACACGCGATTGTTTTCAGGGTGGATTTAGACACATTTATAAAACGTCCACTAAATACTTAACACATATCAGGCACCAAATAAAAGCTAGTCCTCAAGCACATTATCAGCGAAACCCGTAAGGTCAAGATTTTTTTCTCGTTTCTTGGAAGTGTCGAAAATGCACGCAGAGATGACCTATTCAGATCTACAGAATGACTCACAGTCAGAAAGCAATGAGCGCTTTTACCCAGTCTATGAGACCTACCTATGTGTTCAATTCCTGAATGAAATTTTCTGGGGCCGGTTTTCAACGTGGAAAGCCACTGTTAACTTGTCCTTTAAAGCCATTTTCTTCGCATGCATTTTTTTTCTTGTCTCATTTCAGATCTTTTCTTAGTTTGAAAACTCAGAAAACTGCACAGGCAACCTGTCCTTGTTTTCTTTTTTTCTCTAGATCTCTACGCCATAGATCCCTCCTCATCTCTCTTCCTCCCCCTCAGGCCCAGAAACCCTCTTGTCTTCCCTTCTTTCTTTCTGTCTGAGGCTTCATCCTGCTGCCTGTGCTTATCATTAAGAGCCTGGCCGTCTTTCCAGCTTCCTCCCCACTCCTGTCATCAGCGCATGCGAACAGCTCAAGTCGATGTTTGTCCCAAGGACTGGAGGCTGTTTTTTGAGATTGAATATTTCCATAACAAACGAAAATTTGACTTAGCCTTAGGAGAAATATAATCAGAGGCGGGCCTCCCAGACTTTCTGGGGGTGCGAATGAGCTGCCCAGAGGGTAGGCTTGAAAAAAAAAAATCAATATAAATGATACTCACTTGTAGTATTTTGGAGGGGAAGGAGGAGGAGAGGGAAGAAAAAAAAAAAATCTGTCTGAACAAGAGAGGTTGTAATTCAAAAGCTGCCACACAGCAAGTAGGAACCTCCGAGGAGGATAGATCATCACTCTCTCTGGGTTTGACAAGGAGGTTGATGGGAAGTCGTGACCAGACTTGCACCCGCTCTTCAAGGAATATGAAAAACACTGCTGGCCTCACCAGGCCCGTTCACAGTCCAGGGAAGGTGGGAAGGGTTTAGCAGCACAAGGAAAACCACCCTCCACCAAACTTTATACATGTGATCCCGAAGCTAGGAGATAAAAGTTAAGTGTAAATTTTATAACCGTAGCTAACACCATATGTTATTAAAATCATAGCTAACATTTATTGAGTACTTGCCCTGTATGAGACGCTGTACTAAGAATTTTGCATGCAATCCAGATTTGAACCTCATGGCAATTCCATGGAGGAGTCTCTCCTATGATTTTCCCTAGCTTGCGGGTGACAAAAATGAGGCTTAAAGAGGTGATCGGCCCAGGTAAATCTAGGACTCCGACAAACGCAGAGCTTCCCAGATTGTCCCAGATTGGAAAATCCCCATTCTATGGCAAGACAATTTTTAAAGTGTTAATGTGCACGCCTTTCTCCTGAATTTTCACAAGCCTTCCAAGCAGGTAGAGATTCCTGCCTCAAGGGTTTCTGTAAAACAATAAGCAAAAAAAAAAAAAAAAAAAAAAAAGTCACCTGAAAATCAAGTCTCCTGCTGTCTCTTGCAGAAGCAAGAGAGATGCTGACCCAGGAGAAGAGAGTGGTGAGAAATTTCTCTCAGACCTGGAGAGTGGTTCCCGGCATCCTGTGCGGTTTTCCCCCTTCAGGGAGATGCCAGGGCCTCCTCAGGATGGCTCCGTGGTGCATACGGAGAGCCAAGCCAGAGAGTGTTCAACGGATTCTGCCTTTCCCCGGGACCTGTGGGGGAGAGCAGAGGAGAGATCCCCGGTCATGCCTGGGATTGATTTCCTCTGTCATAGTGGAGAAGGGTTTTAAGATAATTTTAAACAAACGAAAGCTGTATTTCTTGAACAGATGAGTTTATGTACCAAGGTTCATACCCACCACAACATCATACACTGAGTAAGGGGGGTGGGGGAGAGCCTCGGTCTCGAACATCTCTTTGATGCCTATCGGCAGGAGTTGGGCCACATGGGGTCAGGGGATTGGCAAGAAAAGCTGAAAATGCCAAGTTTCACCTTCATCTGCTACACAGAAGAAAACTGTTCCTCGCCTTCTCCTTCCCATCCTGCCCCTCGGCCCAGAGATAACCCCCTGAGCTCACACTGCTGGCTCCGGGAAGTCCCAACTTGTCACATATAGAGAACAGAGGAATCCATCGCTGAGATGGCAGAAAGCATCTGTCCAAATGCACACCCCACTGTCAGAGACCCAGCCAGAAACTCTCCCCAAAGCCACCTCATCATCACCTTCCCCCGAAGCTTGAACACTTTTTAAATTAAGGAACTATTACCAAATTTTTTTTTTTTGGAGTAGGTTTATCTGACCTTACCATCCCCACAAGGTATTCTTTTTTAGAAACTCTCTCGTCACACCTATTCTCTCCCCTTCCCCACACAATTGGTGATGACGCATTTGTTTGCCATTGGTTTAATTTCTGTCTTCTCTGTTAGTTCCGTCAGGAGAGGGACTGTGCCTTGTCCTCTGCTGTGTGCCTATAGCCTGTAGCACAGTTGGCAAACACAGCAGGGGCTTGATCCACGCTTAATGAAAAAAACAAAAAAGTACTTCCTGAATGCACCGTGGAAGGAACATGGAGCAGTCATAGGCGGCCCAAAACTCGCAATCATCTGGCCCAATGCCATGACAGAGTAAAGCCTAGAGAGGCTAGACGACTTGCCCGAGGCTCCAAACTTGGTTTAAAAAATTTTTTTTTTCAACGTTTATTTATTTTTGGGACAGAGAGAGACAGAGCATGAACGGGGGAGGGGCAGAGAGAGAGGGAGACACAGAATCGGAAACAGGCTCCAGGCTCTGAGCCATCAGCCCAGAGCCTGACGCGGGGCTCGAACTCACGGACCGCGAGATCGTGACCTGGCTGAAGTCGGACGCTTAACCGACTGCGCCACCCAGGCGCCCCTCCAAACTTGGTTTAAAAAAAGGTTCCGGGACTCCAGGCAGACCCTAGAGTGACCTTCCTCGACCCTGGCATCTTCAGTCTCTAAACGTGCCAGGAATGGACCAAGTTCAAATTCTGGACCACCTGTCCCTGCATGCACGCTTGCGCTCCCTTTACGCCGTTAAGCTCACTCCCCACGATACTGTCTGAGGCCTCTCCTACCTATATCTGTGGTGCTCCCTGTCTCCTGCGGTGTCTCAGTCTTCCCAAAAGAGTCCTTGCTCTCCTTCTTCGTACGGAGAATTTTATATTTTATATTTTAATATGAGAGTCAAAGGCTTTGAAACGTGTCCTTTTTCAACAGATGTTCACAGAGAACCTAGAAATACGGACACTGTTCTAGTACTAAGGGCTGGAGCCATAAGCAGTTTAAGTCCTCATGGAGCATATCTTCTGCTGAGGAAGACAGTTAATAAACGCAAACCAATGAATAAAAATTAGATAGTGGTGGGATGCCTGGGTGGCGCAGTGGTTAAGAGCCTGACTCTTGACTTGCGCTCAGGTCACCATCTCACAGTTTGTGAGTTCGAGCCCCGCATCTGGCTTTGTGCTGACAGTGCAGGGCCTGCCTGGGATTCTCTCTCTCTCTCTTTCTGCCCCTCCTCTGCTCTCTCTCTCTGCCCTTCCCCCCGCTCACTCTCTATTTTCTCTCTCTCTCAAAAAGTAAAGTTTTTAAAAAAGCAGATAGCGGCAAGTGCAGTGAAGAAAATAAAACACAGTAAGGGGTTCGAGGCTGGAGTTCGAGGAGATTTCCCTGAGAAGGACATATTTAAGTTAAGCCTGAATTCTGAGAAAAACCCAGCCCGCAAAGTTCTGGTATTTCAGGCAGACGTTACTACTTCGAGAGCCCTGAAGACCTGGCCGGTGGCTGGAATGTAATGATGGAAACTTCAAAAAGTCAGGGAGGTGCGCAAAGGACAGATCCCGGAGTCTTGTAGGCCATGGAGGAAGACTGAATTTTATTCCATAGGCACCAGGAAACCACTGGAGGTTTTTAAGCTGGGAGTGATAGGATCCGTCGCATTTAAAAACGACCAGGAAGGTTTGGCTGTCAAGTAGAGCAGCAGCAGAGACAAACCAGAGGCCCGGCCAAGAGAGGGGCGTTCCCGGATTAGGCTGCAGAGGCCAGAACCACGAGAAGTGGCTGGACCGTGGTGTGTTTTGGGCACGAGCTGCTGATAGATTGGATGTGGGTTGGGAGGGAAAGTGACGCATCAAATGTGACTCCTGGAGTCTGGCTCGAGCCCCACGGGATGGCGGCACCGACATGCACAAGATTGGGAAAGAATCAAACCCGTAGGGCGAGGGTAACCAAGAGTTGGTTTGGGATGCGTTAAATCCAGGAGGTCTATTAGCCCAGTGGAGATGCCAAGGAAGCAACCAGATATACAACCCAAGGAATATACAGTAGTCAAGACATTTCTGAAGTCTAACAGGCAGCCTTGGGCCAAGGTTGGAAGCAGGGATGGGAAAGGAGAGGACTCCTAGGGCTTGGCGAGTCTCATCACCCAACCACCGGACAGGTGACACTCCCTCGTGCCTTCGGCACCAGAGCCTTTTCACTCAACCTTCCAAGCAAAGGGCCTGGTCTAATCTCTCAGCTGCGGGGAGGTGGAGCTAATTTCACAGCGGGCAGCTAATGAATCACCTTGAATTTCTAAACGGTGAAGGTCTACCGCTAGGTCAACGAATCAGGGAACAATTGCAGTTAGAGTTTTTCCGTAATTCATAAAAAGATAGACGTTCTTTCTTAATCCTGCTGTCTACGAGGCCAGCCTCCAACGGTGGGGCCCCCGGGGCCTACATGTAGGGAGCGCAGTGGACACAGCTGTTGCCCATGCCCGTGCTTGTCCTCACCCCACCCCCACTTTCCCGCGTGGGAGTGAAGCTCGCTGGTGACACTAGGGAGCCATTGTGCCAGTCCTGGAAGTGCCAGCTGTGAGGCTCCTTAGGTGCTATAATCAATGTCCCTACATTTAAAGCTGCTTCGAATGGGGTCTTTCTCTTCCCTCCGTACACTTAGATGCGCCACGGAGCTCACCCCCTCCAACTGCTTGTTTCTAACCGCTGTCACATAGCCATTCGTTCCGCCACGTGTGAGGCACTCAGGAAAACGTGGTGAAGAAACCACTCGGCCTGGTGGTGCCCGTCCCCGTGGATCTGACAGTCCGGCGGGGACACAGACGGCACACAGGTAAATGATGAAACGGATCATTCCCAATTGCACACCTAGGAAGGGGAAGGACGGTGCGCTATGAGACACAGCCTCCGGATCTCATCCTCTGAGGAGGTGTCGCTGAGGAGGTGATGTTTAAACTGAGACCTGAAAGATGATGGGGGAACTGGGCAGGTCACTGGGGAGAGCGTGCGGCTCTTGATCTCTGGGTCATGAGTTTGAGCCCCATGTTGGGTGTAGAGCTTACTTTAAAAAATAAGTAACAACAAATATGTAAACTAGGACCTGGAAGATGAGAAGGATCCAAATGGGGAAGAGAGGGCAGAGGAGTATTTCAACAAGCCGGAATAACCAAACTGACGTGTTCTTCCAGCCCCATCTCTAAGCAGAA